CTTGAATTCCGACACACAAAAGTCGATGTAACACAAATAAAAAACACACAAACAACAACACACTGAAAAAAGTAAAATCTTGGTCAGATTTATTTACTAATAATAAAATAACAGCCCTTTTTAATCTTTCAGTCCAAAACAAAGAAATACCATCAGCTTCTGTTATTCCTGTTTAAAGGAGAAGATTCAGCAGTTTTCACTAATCACAGACTAATATCACCAAAGTCCAAACTTATGAAATCTCTTGTATCTGAAACTAAAAGAGTTTTTATACTTAAATGATCTTCTCTCAAAGTCACAGTCTTCAGGAAAACCACAGCAGCGTCTCTGCAGAATCAGAAATGTTTTACTTGTTGCTCTTGATGAAAAACATGATTGAGCTTCACTTTTCATTAATCTGTCGACAGCTTCTGACTCCGTGGACCCTGTGTTTTAAAGTGTCTTTGTCTGGGACTCTCAGGTCTCTTGGTTCTCGAATGAATTGATTGACAGGACTGCATTACATCTGATGGTTCTGACGTTGTGACTGTCCACAAGGGGGTGCCCCAGGGCTCAACATTCGGACCCTTACTGTTCATTATGTTCATTAATGAATTAGGACAAAGTGTGTCAGATTCTTGTGATTGGTCGTTCGTGTCAGAGCTGTTTCCACGGCGATCACCCTCCCCCCCCAGCTCCATGAATCATGTCTGAGGTGCTGTTTTCTGCTCCTTTAATCATGGGATATAAAACTGAGAATCTGAACAAGTCTCATCTCGCTCCGACTCTTTGTCCTGAGACGAAAACCTCCACGACACACGCCACACGCTTCCAAAAGAGGATATTATAAAAGTTAAAGTCTGCGGCTCTCGCTCAAGAGCCACTCACGCTTCTGTCGCTGTTTAAGGTTTTTGACGTTTTATTATCGTTTAAAAGCATTCCTGAGATAAGTGCTGAGAGTGAGCGCTCCTGTCGCCAAACAAAGATCCTCGAGGGAGACGCACAAGTCTGAGCACGAGCAGAGGAGGCTTCACTCTGTCACGGCCTGGATTCGGATTTTACATTTTTCACATGAGCTTCAGGTGTTGTTGAGGTTTAAAAGGTTTCATTCAATTCAAGGTTATTTTATTATTATTTTATTAATTCCAAAAAGTAAAGAAGCTTCTACTCTTTATCTGTTCTAGCATCAACTTTATTTACTGTTTTGTCTTAATAAAACATTCTAACCTTAAACATAAGAACTTTCTACATCCAGTTGTTGTCAATCGGTGTAAGTGATATTTATTGGTATAGCGCCGTGAACAGACCGTGGTCACACACTTTAAGTTTTTCAAGTTTATTTATAAAGTAAGTAAGTAATCTTTATTTATATACCGCCTTTCACAGACCAGAGTCACAAAGCGGTTTCCACTCCACACAGAGATGAGTTTCACTGCATGAAGAGCTTCACACAGACATAAAATCATACACATTTATAAACATTTTCAGGTTAAAAATGTAAAAAGAAAATTTAAATGAAGAAATAAAAACATGTCAGACTGAATGTCAGAATTAAAACTGTACAAAAAACGCTAAATATATAAAACTCAGTCACATGCAGCTCAAAAGAACGTGTTTATTATATGCCTTGGACCGTACGCGCGCTCTGATTGGCTGATTACCGGTCTGATATTTTCCCATCTCAGACCGTTACCATGACGATCTGTCCAAACAGATCACATTTGATTTCTTTCCTGAGTTTCCTCTGTAAAAAAGAAATAATGGGCGACGTCTGGAAGCATTCTCAGTGAATTCTATTATCGGACGATTTTGACGAGGAAGAAATTACAGAAAATAACCAAGAAAAAATAACTAACAGACAAGATGAGATCGACAACTTCGTTGCAGACCAGAAAGCTAAAAACAGGATTAGGAAAACCAAGTCGGAGATTTGCATAAATTAAAAATATTCATATAATAAAACATTTATTAACCTCGCCATGGCTCTGTCTGTGCATTAAGGCTCAGTCTGTACATTAAGGCTCGGTCTGTGCATTAAGGCTCGGTCTGTGCATTAAGGCTCGGTCTGTGCATTAAGGCTCGGTCTGTACATTAAGGCTCGGTCTGTGCATTAAGGCTCGGTCTGTACATTAAGGCTCGGTCTGTACATTAAGGCTCGGTCTGTGCATTAAGGCTCGGTCTGTGCATTAAGGCTCGGTCTGTACATTAAGGCTCGGTCTGTGCATTAAGGCTCGGTCTGTGCATTAAGGCTCGGTCTGTACATTAAGGCTCGGTCTGTGCATTAAGGCTCGGTCTGTACATTAAGGCTCGGTCTGTTCATTAAGGCTCGGTCTGTACATTAAGGCTCGGTCTGTGCATTAAGGCTCGGTCTGTGCATTAAGGCTCGGTCTGTGCATTAAGGCTCGGTCTGTACATTAAGGCTCGGTCTGTACATTAAGGCTCGGTCTGTGCATTAAGGCTCGGTCTGTGCATTAAGGCTCGGTCTGTGCATTAAGCCTCGGTCTGTGCATTAAGGCTCTGTCTGTGCATTAAGCCTCGGTCTGTGCATTAAGGCTCGGTCTGTACATTAAGGCTCGGTCTGTACATTAAGGCTCGGTCTGTACATTAAGGCTCGGTCTGTGCATTAAGGCTCGGTCTGTACATTAAGCCTCGGTCTGTGCATTAAGGCTCGGTCTGTACATTAAGGCTCGGTCTGTACATTAAGGCTCGGTCTGTACATTAAGGCTCGGTCTGTGCATTAAGGCTCGGTCTGTACATTAAGGCTCTGTCTGTGCATTAAGGCTCGGTCTGTGCATTAAGGCTCGGTCTGTGCATTAAGGCTCGGTCTGTGCATTAAGGCTCGGTCTGTACATTAAGGCTCGGTCTGTACATTAAGGCTCGGTCTCTACATTAAGGCTCGGTCTGTACATTAAGGCTCGGTCTGTGCATTAAGGCTCGGTCTGTGCATTAAGGCTCGGTCTGTGCATTAAGGCTCGGTCTGTGCATTAAGCCTCGGTCTGTGCATTAAGGCTCGGTCTGTGCATTAAGGCTCGGTCTGTGCATTAAGGCTCGGTCTGTGCATTAAGCCTCGGTCTGTGCATTAAGCCTCGGTCTGTGCATTAAGGCTCGGTCTGTGCATTAAGGCTCGGTCTGTGCATTAAGGCTCGGTCTGTGCATTAAGGCTCGGTCTGTACATTAAGGCCGCGGTCTGATTTTTCTCTGTACAGACCTCGCGCTCGGTTAATAAGCCGTTATTACTGCAGAACAAAAGGAGAACTCAGAGAATAAGATTTTATAAACAAAATAGTAATCTATACAAAGTAAATTTAAGTGAATGAAAAACAAGTTTAGATCACTGCTCCCTCTACTGTAATTTACTTTACTTTACTTTACACCCAATAAATTAAATAAAAAATAACAATGATCCAGTTTTATCTTTTGGCTTAAGTCGATCTTTAGACTCAGCTCAGATTAGTTTTGCTCCATCAGCTGCTCCTGTGTTTTAGGACTTTCATTTGCTTTTCAAGTCTTCTCTACAATTTACCAGAAAAGTTTTTGCTCAAAAGTCCAAATAATAAACTGTCTAAAAACTGCAGCATTAACAGGTCTTTCCTCTTTGAGCAGCACAGTCCAGAGTTTGGTAAAAGTCTTTAGATGTATCTGGGCCCTTTAAGTCGGACAGACTTTCTTCTTTTATAGAGTTATTTTCATGATTCCGTCTTTTGCCGTTTGTGTTTCTAGTTTCTATGTTTTAGGCTGTATCAAATTCAATTCAATTCAAATAACTTTATTCAGCACCAGTGCAGGTACAAAAACACAAGATCTAAATATAAATACAGTAGAAATGCAATATAAAATAATACAAATCAGCTGTTTTAAGGTGAATTGAGGAGGGAGGAAGCTGGATGTGGTCCTGTGGTTGTTTTGAGGGACCTGAACCTACGCCCTGATGGGACTTGAACCTACGCCCTGAGCAGACTGTAGTGTGAGTGCAGCATCCTAGACCAGTGTTTTTCAACCTTTTTTGAGCCAAGGCACACTTTTTTCACTGAAAAAATCTTGCGGCACACCTCCAGGAGAAAATGTAAAAATGTATACAGTACTAATGTAAAAAAATATATACTGTACATACTCTGTGTGATATATAAAGTATATCTCATCTTATCTTATAATGTATACAGTATACTCTGTAGCCTATATTCACAATATACAGTTATTCTCATCAAAATGCTTAAGTCCAGGCCTTGAAATTAAGCTTTATTTAATATTTCTCGATACAATTAACAAGAGTTTGGGAATAAAGTGGCACTAACTGTGTGGAAAAAAACTAAGAAAATCCACTCTCTGCCCAAATAGTCAAATAATAACTCACCCAAAGAACATGCATTGTTAGTGCATGGGAAACATTTTGGTATCCGAGCTTTAAATTCAGGAGTTTTGGATGAGGGACACGGAAGGTCCTGAACGCGAGTCCATGGTTCTGTCCGGTCCGCATGTCTGTGGTTCTGTCCACTCGACTACGGTCTGCGCTCGGTACCCAGTTCAGAAGTGCGTTCGCGAGAGCTGTTGTACAAAAATCGTACATTTCATAGTTAAACCACTACAACGCGGCCACAGCTACCCCGGGGCAGAGCGGAGGATGTTAATCCTGTTCAGAAACGGCATAATTCATTTTCAAAAACGTCTCTATCACTTTCACTTCTCACTCGCCACAAAGCTCTTGTCTCGCTCCCTCCCACATTTGTTGGTCGCATCCAATTTTACCTTTCTCGCCACAATGCTGACCTGTTGCCAGTGGTCGCATCCAATTTTTCAGTTTCAAAGTACTTAGCTATCTGCTGCCATCTACTGATTTGAAAAAGTATTACATGGTTACTCACAGTTCAAAACAAGTCACCGCTCGTCAACAGCGAATGCAGCTATTTTTAGACAAAGTAGACGAATTTCTCACGGCACACCAGACAATATCATACGGCACACTAGTGTGCCGCGGCACAGTGGTTGAAAAACACTGTCCTAGACTATATTTCCCTGAGATTTGATTTTCTTCTGTATCTCAATCAGAAGTGTTTTAGTTCTCTCCCACTGCAGCGTTATGTCTCTTCAGAGCTGGATCTAAAAGCTTTTCGATCCGGAGCCTTTCGGAGAGAGCTGGAGGTCACTGTCAGCTTTTCACTGTCAGCTTTTTCACTGCTGCGTCCGGCTCTCGACTGATGCTTGTTGTTGTTTGTTTTGATGAAAGTGGTTGTGTTGTCTTTCAGAGGTGAAAGCATACGAGCCTCCGTTTGGGAACCTCCGGGAGCACCCCTGTGTGGAGAGCATGAAGGACAGTGTGCTGCGAGACCGAGGGCGCCCCGACATCCCCAACACCTGGACCCTGGGACACTCTGTAAGACCTGCTCTAACACTTTCACAGTTAACCCTGAAGGCGCCACGCTGGATTTAAAGTAGAAATATGTAGGAGTTTCATGTCAGGGCCTCATTAAAGGGCCCTAGCCTGTTCTCTCTTATTTGCACTTGTAATCGACCTTGACACATTATTATTATTATCATAATTATTATTATTCATTCTGCTGTAATGTAAAGGTGCTTAAAGGAGGATTTTCCCAAATTTTAGGAAAGAACCGCCCTTTCCACCTTTCCAACCAAACTCTTATTGGACGAGCTCGTATCGCCAGAATGATTGACAATCGGGAGGACCAATAGTCTTGATGATCTAGACTAAGTAGAAAATCCTCCTATATACCTTCAACGTATATATATTTTTTTAATCTACATTCTCCAAGAGTGCTACTATATACAAGGGCACACTATAGACATTTAGCAGTGCAATAAAGCGACAGCAAAAAGTCATAAAGGGAGCTGTGATCTAAAGCCGCTCTATGTCCTGTGATATAAACTCACGTGCTGAGATCGAGACCCAAAGATCCATGTTTAAATCCCCGGTGTGGTCTGTTGCAGGGCATCCAGCTGATCTGTGCGTCCATTGAGGACTGTTGGGACCACGACCCTGAGGCCAGACTCACGGCTCACTGCATCTCTGAGCGCTTCTCCGACCTGGACATGGACAAGCTGTCGGGACGATCGGACTCTCAGGACAAGATCCCAGAGGACAAGACCCCAGAGGACAAGACCCTGAAGGACCTGATCCCAGAGGACAAGACCTCAGAGGACAAGACCCTGAAGGACCTGATCCCAGAGGACAAGATCCCAGAGGACAAGACCTCAGAGGACAAGACCCCAAAGGACCTGATCCCAGAGGACAAGATCCCAGAGGACAAGACCTCAGAGGACAAGACCCCAAAGGACCTGACCCCAGAGGACAAGATCCCAGAGGACAAGATCCCAGAAGACAAGATCCCAGAGGACAGGACCCCAGAGGACAGGACCCCAGAGGACAGGACCCCAGAGGACAGGACCCCAGAGGACTTGTGCATGGACGATCTCCAGTAGAAACACCGCCTCCTAGTGGCCACATGGGGCATGGACACAACGGCTGCTGGAGAGAAACAGCAGAGAAAGAGAGAGGTTCAAACTCTGGGAAAATGTGTCTTGTTTAGTTTGTGTTTTGGCTTTACGAGACAGTATCATATTTTTGTCCTAATTCAAATCAAACTAATCATAAATCAACTCAATATGTTCTGATCCGGGGCTGTCAAAGCGGTCCTAAAGGGCAGGTGTGGCTACAGGAGTTTAGTCCAACCAAGCAGGAGCACAGCAGACTCCGCCCCTTTCCTCAAGTCCAGTCTAATCCTGAAGACCTGAGTGGAGTCTGAGTGTCTGGAGCCACACCTGCCCTTTAAGGACCTGCTCTGATCACCTGTTTTTTAGCAGTGTACATGAATTCTGTTTCAAACTGCAAAAAAAACATATTTGAAAATGACCAGCAACAGATGTTTTAGATTTGAGTGGATTTGAAGTCGTAAAGTCAGTGAATTATAATCATTTGTCACTAGAACAGGATTGAGATAAGATTCAGTTTATTTTTCATTGGCAGTAAAACCCCATTGGAATACACCTGCAAAAGTCCTATTATTTATTAGTGCTTAGCATAAAAACTCCCAGGAAGCATCTCTCTGGCCGATGATTTGACTTTACTGAAGATATGAAAGAAAAGGTTGTCACTCATTCACACAGTTTTAAAATGACAAATGGCTTCTTCGGTCCACAGCGACACCCGGAGGAAACCGAGCACTTTACTCACAGTCAGCAGGATCAGCGCTCCAGTGGAAAAACATATCAATGTTTTTAAGACAAATGTGTTTAAGTGCCTGAAAAGTTACTTTTTCAATAACGTCTCTATATAAATGTTTAAAAACAGGTGAATACAAACAGACATTTAAATCTGACACATTTACACTGGTGCTTTGTGGGAAAACGTCTGATACTAATCATAAACTATAAAACTATTATAAAACTGATAACTGTATACGGCAGTAAAAAGGCCTGTTTCCACCAGCCCTACTCTACTCTACTTGGCTCTACTCTACTCTACTTGGCTCTACTCTACTCTACTTGACTCTACTCTACTCTACTTGGCTCTACTCTACTCTACTTGGCCCTACTCTACTCTACTTGGCCCTACTCTACTAGTCTTTAAACTCAGGATAAATGTGACCAAACTAATGATCTTTGACCAAACAAATACAAATGTATCTTGTGCCTTTTATCTTTTATTCAGGTTTTCTCTTTGATGCAGGAAACTGTAAATAAGAATCGACTCTAATGTTTTTATTCAGTGTTTTTCTTCTCAGACTCGGAAGCAGCAGCGTCCGAGAGTTTATTATTATTGTGTGAAAATACTTTAATCAACGAGAGACTGAGATTCACCGCGAGTTTATCAAAGAAATGGATCGTCTGAAGTGGGATCGTTTTTACCGTATTTACTGTTTTTACCGTATTTACCGTATTTACCGTTTTAACTGTTTTTACCGTATTTACCGTTTTTACTGTTTTTACCATATTTACTGTTTTTACCGTATTTACAGTTTTTACTGTTTTTACCGTATTTACTGTTTTTACAGTATAAACTGTTTTTACCCGGACACAGACGGTGGATTCTCACGCAGCAGCTTCACGAAGGGAGAATCTAACACAGGACTCTCAACTGGAAGTCACACTCAGACGCCAAAGATTTAAGATGTTTTTACACCGTAATGAAATGTTCTTGTAATAAGCTCAGTGTAAATAAAGTGTTGAATTTTACATGTGTCTGAAAGTTAGTGATGGATTTAGTTTCATTCATGGAAATAAATAATAATAATGCATCAGTTTGATACAGAGCTTTTCAGACGCTCAAAGTCTCTTCACATTATTATTCTCTCTCTCCAAACACGGTGGTGATAAACTACTGTAGCCACAGCTGCCCTGGGGCACACTGACAGAAGCGAGGCAACCAGTCTGTGCCATCGGCCCCTCCCACCACCACCAACCATTCACACACCCACCAGACTCATTCTAATGTGGGGGAAGTGTCTTGCCAAAGGACACAACAGCAGTTTGGCACTTTAGAGCCGCAGCCGCCCCACTGTGGCACCTGCTGTTCAGAGGTCTCCCATCATAGCACTAACCAGGCCCTGCCCTGCTCAGCTTCAGACGTCTGACAGATGCAGGTAAGGCCACATTGATCAGCTCTCGACCAACAGCTGCTCGGTGTTTGTGGTTATTGCATTTCTTTGCTCTGATCTGTGTCGACGTATCGACAGTTCACTGTGATTTAGGGCTGTCCAGAAATACATTCAAATGGAATTGTTTCTGCTCAAAAAGGGCGAAATATTAAACACTGAGGATTCAAAGGGCAAGGTTTGAACTTTAATAATAATAAATAATAATATTATTATTATTATCTTTATTATTAATAATAATAATATAATAATAATAATAATAATAATAATAATAATAATGATTGGTTGGTCCGTCCATCCCAGACTCTGGTTTGTGTGTGTGTGTGTCTGGTGGGTGTGTCCTGTGTGCGTCCGGTGGGTGTGTACGGTGTGTGTTTGGTGTGTGTAAGTCTGAGCTGCGTCACTGTAGAAAAGTTAAAAACAGTAAAACAATCATAATATTGCACTCAGCTGAATCTCTGCGTCTCCTGTCGTCTCCTGTCGTCTCCTGTCGTCTCCTGTCGGCTCCTGTCGTCTCCTGTCGTCTCCTGTCGTCTCCTGTCGGCTCCTATCGTCTCCTGTCGTCTCCTGTCGTCTCCTGTCGTCTCCTGTCGTCTCCTGGTGTCTCCTGTCGGCTCCTGTCGTCTCCTGTCGGCTCCTGTCGGCTGCTGTCGGCTCCTGTCGTCTCCTGTCGTCTCATGTCGTCTCCTGTCGTCTCGTGTTGTCTCCTGTCGTCTCCTGTCGGCTCCTGTCGGCTCCTGTCGTCTCCTGTCGTCTCCTCTCGGCTCCTGTCGTCTCCTGTCGGCTCCTCTCGGCTCCTGTCGTCTCCTGTCGGCTCCTGTCGTCTCCTGTCGGCTCCTGTCGGCTCCTGACGGCTGCTGTCGGCTCCTCTCGGCTCCTGTCGGCTCCTGTCGTCTCCTGTCGGCTCCTGTCGTCTCCTGTCGGCTCCTCTCGGCTCCTGTCGGCTCCTGTCGTCTCCTGTCGGCTGCTGTCGGCTCCTGTCGTCTCCTGTCGTCTCCTGTCGTCTCCTGTCGTCTCCTGTCGTCTCCTGTCGTCTCCTGTCGGCTCCTGTCGTCTCCTGTCGTCTCCTGTCGGCTCCTGTCGGCTCCTGTCGGCTCCTGTCGGCTCCTGTCGTCTCCTGTCGGCTCCTGTCGGCTGCTGTCGGCTCCTGTCGTCTCCTGTCGGCTCCTGTCGGCTCCTGTCGGCTCCTGTCGGCTCCTGTCGGCTCCTGTCGGCTCCTGTCGGCTCCTGTCGTCTCCTGTCGTCTCCTGTCGGCTCCTGTCGTCTCCTGACGGCTGCTGTCGTCTCCTGTCGGCTCCTGTCGGCTCCTGTCGGCTCCTGTCGGCTCCTGTCGGCTCCTGTCGGCTGCTGTCGTCTCCTGTCGGCTCCTGTCGGCTCCTGTCGGCTCCTGTCGTCTCCTGTCGTCTCCTGTCGTCTCCTGTCGTCTCGTGTTGTCTCCTGTCGTCTCCTGTCGGCTCCTGTCGGCTCCTGTCGTCTCCTGTCGTCTCCTCTCGGCTCCTGTCGTCTCCTGTCGGCTCCTCTCGGCTCCTGTCGTCTCCTGTCGGCTCCTGTTGGCTCCTGACGGCTCCTGTCGGCTCCTGTCGGCTGCTGTCGGCTCCTGTCGTCTCCTGTCGGCTCCTGTCGGCTGCTGTCGGCTCCTGTCGTCTCCTGTTGGCTCCTGACGGCTCCTGTCGGCTCCTGTCGGCTGCTGTCGGCTCCTGTCGTCTCCTGTCGGCTCCTGTCGGCTGCTGTCGGCTCCTGTCGTCTCCTGTCGGCTCCTGTCGGCTCCTGTCGGCTCCTGTCGGCTCCTGTCGGCTCCTGTCGGCTCCTGTCGGCTCCTGTCGTCTCCTGTCGTCTCCTGTCGGCTCCTCTCGGCTCCTGTCGGCTCCTGTCGGCTCCTGTCGGCTCCTGTCGGCTCCTGTCGGCTCCTCTCGGCTCCTGTCGTCTCCTGTCGGCTCCTCTCGGCTCCTGTCGTCTCCTGTCGGCTCCTCTCGGCTCCTGTCGTCTCCTGTCGGCTCCTGTCGTCTCCTGTCGGCTCCTCTCGGCTCCTGTCGTCTCCTGTCGGCTCCTGTCGGCTCCTGTCGGCTCCTGTCGGCTCCTGTCGGCTCCTGTCGGCTCCTCTCGGCTCCTGTCGTCTCCTGTCGGCTCCTCTCGGCTCCTGTCGTCTCCTGTCGGCTCCTGTCGTCTCCTGTCGGCTCCTCTCGGCTCCTGTCGTTTCCTGTCGTCTCCTGTCGGCTCCTGACGGCTGCTGTCGGCTCCTGTCGGCTCCTGTCGTCTCCTGTCGGCTCCTGTCGGCTCCTCTCGGCTCCTGTCGTCTCCTGTCGGCTCCTGTCGGCTCCTGTCGTCTCCTGTCGGCTGCTGTCGGCTCCTGTCGTCTCCTGTCGGCTCCTGTCGGCTCCTGTCGTCTCCTGACGGCTGCTGTCGTCTCCTGTCGGCTCCTGTCGGCTCCTGTCGTCTCCTGTCGGCTCCTGTCGTCTCCTGTCGGCTCCTGTCGTCTCCTGTCGGCTCCTGTCGGCTCCTGTCGTCTCCTGACGGCTGCTGTCGTCTCCTGACGGCTGCTGTCGTCTCCTGTCGGCTCCTGTCGGCTCCTGTCGGCTCCTGTCGGCTCCTGTCGTCTCCTGTCGGCTCCTGTCGGCTCCTGTCGGCTCCTGTCGGCTCCTGTCGGCTGCTGTCGGCTGCTGTCGGCTCCTGTCGGCTCCTGTCGGCTCCTGTCGGCTCCTGTCGGCTCCTGCCGGCTCCTGTCGGCTCCTCTCGGCTCCTGTCGGCTCCTCTCGGCTCCTGTCGTCTCCTCTCGGCTCCTCTCGGCTCCTGTCGTCTCCTGTCGGCTCCTGTCGTCTCCTGTCGGCTCCTGTCGGCTCCTGTCGTCTCCTGTCGTCTCCTCTCGGCTCCTGTCGTCTCCTGTCGGCTCCTGTCGGCTCCTGTCGTCTCCTGTCGGCTCCTGTCGGCTCCTGTCGGCTCCTGCCGGCTCCTGTCGGCTCCTCTCGGCTCCTGTCGGCTCCTCTCGGCTCCTGTCGTCTCCTCTCGGCTCCTCTCGGCTCCTGTCGGCTCCTCTCGGCTCCTGTCGTCTCCTGTCGGCTCCTGTCGTCTCCTGTCGTCTCCTGTCGTCTCCTCTCGGCTCCTGTCGTCTCCTGTCGGCTCCTGTCGGCTCCTGTCGTCTCCTGTCGGCTCCTGTCGTCTCCTGTCGGCTCCTCTCGGCTCCTGTCGTCTCCTGTCGGCTCCTGTCGGCTCCTGTCGTCTCCTGTCGTCTCCTGTCGTCTCCTGTCGTCTCCTGTCGGCTCCTGTCGTCTCCTGTCGGCTCCTGTCGGCTCCTGACGGCTGCTGTCGGCTCCTGTCGTCTCCTGACGGCTGCTGTCGGCTCCTGTCGGCTCCTGTCGTCTCCTGTCGGCTCCTGTCGGCTCCTGTCGTCTCCTGACGGCTGCTGTCGTCTCCTGTCGGCTCCTGTCGGCTCCTGTCGTCTCCTGTCGGCTCCTGTCGGCTCCTGTCGGCTCCTGTCGTCTCCTGTCGGCTCCTGTCGGCTCCTGTCGGCTCCTGTCGGCTCCTGTCGGCTGCTGTCGGCTGCTGTCGGCTCCTGTCGGCTCCTGTCGGCTCCTGTTGGCTCCTGTCGGCTCCTGTCGGCTCCTGCCGGCTCCTGTCGGCTCCTCTCGGCTCCTGTCGGCTCCTCTCGGCTCCTGTCGTCTCCTCTCGGCTCCTCTCGGCTCCTGTCGGCTCCTCTCGGCTCCTGTCGTTTCCTGTCGGCTCCTGTCGGCTCCTGTCGTCTCCTGTCGTCTCCTCTCGGCTCCTGTCGTCTCCTGTCGGCTCCTGTCGGCTCCTGTCGTCTCCTGTCGGCTCCTGTCGGCTCCTGTCGGCTCCTGCCGGCTCCTGTCGGCTCCTCTCGGCTCCTGTCGGCTCCTCTCGGCTCCTGTCGTCTCCTCTCGGCTCCTCTCGGCTCCTGTCGGCTCCTCTCGGCTCCTGTCGTCTCCTGTCGGCTCCTGTCGTCTCCTGTCGTCTCCTGTCGTCTCCTCTCGGCTCCTGTCGTCTCCTGTCGGCTCCTGTCGGCTCCTGTCGTCTCCTGTCGGCTCCTGTCGTCTCCTGTCGGCTCCTCTCGGCTCCTGTCGTCTCTGTGTCGGCTCCTGTCGGCTCCTGTCGTCTCCTGTCGTCTCCTTGTCGTCTCCTGTCGGCTCCTGTCGGCTCCTGTCGTCTCCTGTCGGCTCCTGTCGGCTCCTGACGACTGCTGTCGGCTCCTGTCGTCTCCTGACGGCTGCTGTCGGCTCCTGTCGGCTCCTGTCGTCTCCTGTCGGCTCCTGTCGGCTCCTGTCGTCTCCTGACGGCTGCTGTCGTCTCCTGTCGGCTCCTGTCGGCTCCTGTCGTCTCCTGTCGGCTCCTGTCGTCTCCTGTCGGCTCCTGTCGGCTCCTGTCGTCTCCTGACGGCTGCTGTCGTCTCCTGACGGCTGCTGTCGTCTCCTGTCGGCTCCTGTTGGCTCCTGTCGGCTCCTGTCGGCTCCTGTCGGCTCCTGTCGGCTGCTGTCGGCTGCTGTCGGCTCCTGTCGGCTCCTGTCGTCTCCTGTCGGCTCCTGTCGGCTCCTGTCGGCTCCTGTCGGCTCCTGTCGGCTCCTGTCGGCTCCTGTCGGCTCCTGCCGGCTCCTGTCGGCTCCTCTCGGCTCCTGTCGGCTCCTGTCGGCTCCTCTCGGCTCCTGTCGGCTCCTCTCGGCTCCTGTCGTCTCCTGTCGGCTCCTGTCGGCTCCTGTCGGCTCCTGTCGGCTCCTGTCGGCTCCTGTCGGCTCCTGTCGGCTCCTGTCGGCTCCTGTCGGCTCCTGTCGGCTCCTGTCGTCTCCTGTCGGCTCCTGTCGTCTCCTGTCGGCTCCTGTCGGCTCCTGTCGGCTCCTGTCGGCTCCTGTCGGCTCCTGTCGGCTCCTGTCGGCTCCTGTCGGCTCCTGTCGGCTCCTGTCGGCTCCTGTCGGCTCCTGTTTACATAAACATGTGTCTATTTACATAAACTTACGGTGAAAATACACATCCAGAATGTCAGTGTTCAGGGCTGGTTTCTGTGTGGGTTTATTACCGTCCAATAAAAATCCTGTTTATGAATATTTTAAATAATTCATGGTTTACAAATGTGTGTGTGGGAGATGGAGCTGTAAGTGGCTCCGACACACGTCTGAATAAATATGATTTTCTCACGATCGGAAACTTATGTAAATAATTCAGGACATGGACTGAGCTAATGGAAATAATAATAATAATAATAATGAACTGATCTTAAAACATGAAAACAGTTTTTTTACGTGTTGTTGAAAAAAGTGTAACTGTTTCAGTGAAACTTATCTCACACAAAGGCTCAGATATTGTGTTATATAAACATGTATAACACATAAACATGTAAAACATTAAACTAACTTTATTTATAATTGAACAAATTCAATATTATTCCATTTTCCGAGGTGTTTATGTAAAAGTGAAATACTTTATATACATTAATTTCTTTATCTTTATCTAGATTTTAGCTAATAAAGATTCATGCAAGAAAAAACTACAGAGCTTTAGTTTATAGTTTGTTTGGAAATCAGTTAAAAACGATTCCTGCAACTTAGTGAAAAGTAAGTTCATATTTTACCTTTTACCCAGTTTCAGTGTCTTCACTTCCATCACAGAGGTTTGTGTGAAGCTCGTCACAGAACACCCACAAAGCATTTGAACCTGGAGGTCCCTCCAAAGCAAAGGCACCATGACCACTTTTCAAGGTCTACATTAGGCTAAATATAAGTTAAATAACGCAGCTTTAAAGATACAATATTTCTTTGATCCGCGGTGTGTCCTTTGTTGTGCCGTGGTTTGCTTAAGACGACACCCTTTAGTCTCTATTTCCTTCAGATCTATCGACTCACAGAAGCCAAAACATTGATCTTGACCCTTTATTGCCAACAATAGACATCATTTCCTGCAAAAGCCTTTTCCATAGAATCAGTGACACCCGTTAATAAAACCGACAAAGGAAGTCCCGTGATTGATCTGTGTTTTGTTCACACGTGTCTTTCTCGAGCCCCACTTTACTGCCTCTCGATCATTACACCTGCTTTATTTACTAAAAGCACTCTCCTTTGAGGGTTATGCGGCGCAGGATTTGGACAGCGCTCCCGGATAAACAAGCCCGTGACAAATGAGTAATAATTTGACATTTTGAAAGGATTACGCCGGTCTGTCACGAGGCACAAAAGCAGCGTTTTCTTCATTTTTCATTATCAAATAATGTGTTGCCAGTTTTATGTCCTCCAGCAGAACTGCCTCCAATGGGACGTGCTCGGTTAGAAATGAAAAACTCGAAAGGCCTCGGCTGAAAACGCATTAGTCTGAGTCGAGAAGAGTGATGTCTTCATTGGACTGGTTTGTGTTTCTGCTGTTACTGCGGAAAAAATCACTATAATTAACTGTTTACCTGTTTATAGTCTGTTTTGTTGATTCTACATTTAAATAATTATATTTTGTCCCAATAAAAATAATCAGTTAAAATTTAAACTATGTGAATAAATCAGACCACATCAAGCTGTCTTTAAAGAAAACATTTTAACTTTTGTGTTCTTGTAAGAAAGAGCCTTGAGAGTCGTTATTTGACTCTTTGGGCTTTTGATTGAAAAAGCAGAACAAAAATGTGAGTTTTAAAATACACACGGAAACAGCAGATGGCTTTTATTTCAATGTCTCTTTGTTTTTTTAACATTTTAGTTTGAAAGTTACAGACCTACACTTTAATCAGGGAAACCATGCTTCCTTTTGCACATTCAGTATTCTTAGGTTTCATATGACGTCGGGGCAGTGGCGAATAACAAACGTAGGACAGGACGTGACGTACCCTGGAGGTGCAGTCTGCCGGGTTTACAGTATACACGGAGATCATTTAAATTGTTTTTTTATTATTTCTTTAAGCCTTGCCTTGAAAAAAAAGAAAAAAAAAAAAAAGTATACACGGAGATATAGTAGAAGAAGAAGTGGTTTATACACGGAGATATAGTAGAAGAAGAAGCGGTTTATACACAGAGATATAGTAGAAGAAGAAGTGGTTTATACACGGAGATATAGTAGAAGAAGAAGTGGTTTATACACAGAGATATAGTAGAAGCAGAAGCGGTTTATACACAGAGATATAGTAGAAGAAGAAGCATCTTTTTGTGCGGTGTACGTTTGTAGCAACCGCACAAATAGAGAAAGACCAGAGTTTGTTCATGTTCCAACTGTGGTCTCAGATAAAGGAGGACACTTTGAAAACATCACTGGAATGAGGCGGAGGAGGATCAAGGCTTTCCCAGATAAGCGCCCCCTGCAGGCCACCCCAATGAAACGCAGCAATTTCTTCTGTTTTTTTATTTTCCAAAAATGCCCAAAATCAAGACTCTTTTGATAAACATTTTTTAGTACTTCCTTAGAATTGAGTGTCCCCGATTAAGACTGTTCCAACAACCGTACACCGCACAGGAGGAGAGCCTTTGACTCCAAAACAGACTTTACATGGTTTTCAATGGGAGCAACACTGTCCTCTGCTCATGCGCCCCCTACTGGCCAGTTTAATGAAACACAAGAATTATGTTTTAATGCAATTGTAGCCTTAAAGGTGATTTGTATGTTTGTTTATGTCCTTGTTTACCTCCTTGTTCATCTCCTTGTTCATCTCCTTGTTCATCTCCTTGTTGCATGTGCTGCTTTTTGCTATGAAGGTCGTGGGTTCGAGCCCACCATAAGACCTACTTCACGACTCCCGCTGATGTCTGCTGTGGTTTTACCTTGGGCAAGACACTTAACCCCACTTTGCCTGAAGCCCCCGCTGAAAGATCTGAGCACCTGCAGGAGGATCAGTGAGGGGCTGGTGCTCTGACTGCCACCCCCCCGACCCAGAAATGGATAAAGGGGAAGAAGATGGATGGATGAATGCCCTATTAGTATTCTATGTTAATATGTTGAGTCTTCATATTATTAAATTACAGTTTTATTGCTGAATATGCATATGTATGTCGGGGTTGGCTCTCTTCTTCGCAGATGTAACCTGTAAGTCATATTTATTCATGTATAATGTATGACGAATTATAAGGATTGTTATTATTGACGGATTATAAGGATATGTGCTCGGACCTAATAAGGAACTATTTTGACATAACAAACCCATAATCCTCTTTAAGCGTTCCAGCTGTAACCCTATCACATGTCACAGTTTTGTTGTATACAAAAGGCTTGACATTGTTTACATGTAGATAGTGGAGATATGGATGATATAGAAGTAGTTTTAAGTTTTTCTCAAAGTGAATGATCCTCTCCCTCCTTGCCTCTGCACACCGCTCTTCAGTGCGACCTGCATTTCCCGCCGTGTCCACCAGAGGGCGCAGTGGTTACATACATAATCCACAGAGCCATCGTTTGGATATTGAATGAATTGAATGAATATGAAATGTGATGAGACTTTGAGGCTAAATGAGCTCTGATTTCAGCTCAGATAGTTCCAATGTTAACTATCTGAGCTGAAATCAGATAGCTCTATCTAAATGAGTTAGATTTAGAATAATGTACGGCGTGTTTTGCTTTTGCTTTCTCTGAACTGTGTTGTGTGTCTCCCTCTCAGAGTCTGTCAGAGCAGAATGTAATGCCACCTGCTCCATCACAACAGTCTATTAGCAGCAGAGTCACCCCGGGGGGCCCTCACACTGCGGTGGGGCTGAGACCAGGGCCGAATGAGGCGAACGGGGAATACAGATTTGTTTTATTATTATTATTATATAGACAATACAAAGCCACGGCACGGAATGGGCCTGAACCTTTCCTCATGTGTCAGATGTGATGGAATACAACTCATTCATTGGTTGGAAATGATATTTTTGAAATAAACTCCACATCTCCCCATTCCACCTTAAATCACACGACTTCCAGCTCCTCCTGCAGGGGTGAAGATATGTCTTTTTTTTATCAAATACACTTTATGTCAAATATTGTTAAATTGTGAAAAGTTGTTTGTAGCAGCCTAATGCTGAGGCCCAGAGCCTTCGGGGTTCTCTCTCTCTCCAACCATCTCTCTCCTTGGGGTGTGTTATTCTCTGTTGTGTCTGTTTGTATCTTGTCATAATTCAGTGTCATTAAATGTCCTCTTTTATATCTATTGGTTTGGGCCTAGTATGTACAGCAACGATTACATTTTCATGACAACAATGGAAATTAGTCAATCCCTATGGTCCAATACCATGTGGTAAGTAAGCTTTATTTATATACCGCCTTTCACAGACCAGAGCCACAAAGCGGTTTACAATTGTTATTTTTTGGGCACTTGTCTCTCACTCCACACAGAGATGGGAGCGGGGCCAGTACAGGAGGCGCATGCCAGAACTATATTGTACATATTTTTAGTGGTAGGGGAAACCGGAGTACCCGGAGGAAACCTACGCAGACACGGGGAGAACATGCAAACTCCACTCAGAAAGGCCCTGGTCCGGCCGGGATTCGAACCCAGTACCTTCTTGCTGAGAGGCGAGAGTGCTATCCACTGGTCTCTCCCTATGGACCAATACCATGTGGTCTCTCCCTATGGTCCAATACCATGTGGTCTCTCCCTGTGGACCAATACCATGTGGTCTCTCTCTATGGTCCAATACCATGTGGTCTCTCCCTGTGGACCAATACCATGTGGTCTCTCTCTATGGTCCAATACCATGTGGGAGTCAGTGGGAGTCTATCCGAGTCCGTTCCAGTCTGTCCGGGTCCGTCCGAGCTTGTCCCAGTCTGTCCCAGTCTGTCCCAGTCCAAACACATGTGTTTAATTCTCAGACTCTCTCTTCTTCCTTCACACAAACGACCACACGTTCACTCTTTTCCTTTTCCTTCCCCAAATCTCCCTTCGTTTCCACGACAACGCCTCATCCATCCATCAAAGCGCTCTGAAGGAACGCTCAGGCCGTGATGGCTGTAAACCATATGTTAAGCTCCAGTAAAGACAGGACCAGAAAGACAAACGACTCCGTGAGCGCCACCTACAGACTCTCCCGGACACTTCTGCCTCCGACACTTCCACCTCCGACACTTCCACCTCCGACACTTCCACCTCCGACACTTCCACCTCCGACACTTCCACCTCCGACACTTCCACCTCCGACACTTCCACCTCCGACACTTCCACCTCCGACACTTCCACCTCCGACACTTCCACCTCCGACACTTCCACCTCCGACACTTCCACCTCCGACACTTCCACCTCCGACACTTCCACCTCCGACACTTCCACCTCCGACACTTCCACCTCCGACACTTCCACCTCCGACACTTCCACCTCCGACACTTCCACCTCCGACACTTCCACCTCCGACACTTCCACCTCCGACACTTCCGCCTCCGACACTTCCGCCTCCGACACTTCCGCCTCCGACACTTCCGCCTCCGACACTTCCGCCTCCGACACTTCCGCCTCCGACACTTCCACCTCCGACACTTCCACCTCCGACACTTCCGCCTCCGACACTTCCGCCTCCGACACTTCCGCCTCCGACACTTCCGCCTCCGACACTTCCGCCTCCGACACTTCCGCCTCCGACACTTCCGCCTCCGACACTTTCCACCTCCGACACTTCCACCTCCGACACTTCCACCTCCGACACTTCCACCTCCGACACTTCCACCGCCGACACTTCCACCTCCGACACTTCCGCCTCCGACACTTCCGCCTCCGACACTTCCGCCTCCGACACTTCCGCCTCCGACACTTCCGCCTCCGACACTTCCGCCTCCGACACTTCCGCCTCCGACACTTCCGCCTCCGACACTTCCGCCTCCGACACTTCCGCCTCCGACACTTCCGCCTCCGACACTTCCGCCTCCGACACTTCCGCCTCCGACACTTCCACCTCCGACACTTCCACCTCCGACACTTCCACCTCCGACACTTCCACCTCCGACACTTCCACCGCCGACACTTCCACCTCCGACACTTCCGCCTCCGACACTTCCGCCTCCGACACTTCCGCCTCCGACACTTCCGCCTCCGACACTTCCGCCTCCGACACTTCCGCCTCCGACACTTCCGCCTCCGACACTTCCGCCTCCAACACTTCAGACTTGGCTTTTACCCAAAGTCTCCCGCGGTGCACTGGAACAAAAACCTTGAAAAAAATAAGAAAAAAGTAAAATACTGCTTGAAATAATAAACATGATCTGTCATAGAAAAAGGAAACTGACTTGAGATTTCTGAAAATAATAAAATAATATTAGCCCCAAACGACTTTATTCTTGTTTAAAACACATTTAAAGTATTATTTACTTATTCTTTAAAATACAGCATCACAAACTTATTTAATCTAAACAAGAAAAGTCTGGAAATAAGAAAAAATACTTAAAACAAGCTTAAAAACTCACTGCTCAGACTTTTTTCTCTAAGATTATGAAGTTTTATTATCTTAAAACTAGTAAAATAATATTGTGAGAAAAACATTCAAGAAACACCAGAAAATTGAAAAAAATAAGTTCTCCCTGTGTCTGCGTAGGTTGCCTCACTAGGTCTGAATGTAAATGAGAGTGCTTTGGGTCTGTACCTTGGTCTGTAGAATGTGCTATATAAATAAACATTACTTATTTTCAGTAAATTAATCTTACCACAATGTTATTTTTTCAGTGTGAGCAGTTGTGGGATTTTCAGCTTCTTCACTGCAAAAAACGAAGAAAAATAAATCAGAAATTGCTCAAATTTGGCAAAAAGTCTGACTGAGCCTAAACCCAGATTCTCCAATGAGACAAAACAAAATGATCTTGTTTTAAAAAGATACAGAAATGTCTTCTTTGGAAAAAGGAAATAAAGCAGCAGTTCTGGATATGATAATAATAATCTGGTTTAAACTCAGAATGTGTCAGATTAAGATAAAAACACTGGATTGAATCGTTTATTACCTCATATTATATTTTTTGCAGTGTTGAAGGACGTGGCTCGGCGCCGCTCCCTGAGGATGTGGTAAAGCTCCAGGACGTCCCGGCGCAGAGAGGGTCCCAGACTTCATCACTGAGCCTTTCCCTCGACTGGGCTCTCACCGTTTGGTTTCTAAAGGTTTCAAAGTTTCATTTTCTCTCGCTTCAATGAACCGCTGCAGTGTTGTGATGTCACGTCCCGGACTCCAGAAAGTTCTTGTTATGGGTTCATTAGCAGCGTTTTCTCCAAGTTCATCCGTGTCCAAACTTATTGATATGAAGCAGACTTTGTCGGAAAATCTTTTAGTTTGTCCTTTTCAAATCTTTTACTTTAAAATGTAGCGGCTGAGAGATTAAAGAAAGGCTTTGAGTTCACTAAAGACTTTCTGTAATCCTTATTTTTCGGTGTGTTTGGCGACAGTTACACGTCTCACTCGTACTAGGGCTTTGAAACAGGCCTGAGGAATAAACTGTATTCTGTGTTTTAGGCTCAGAAGGTTCTTTTAATGAGACAAAAAGTAAAAAGCTTCTTCTGCTTAAGCATTGCCTGATGTGGTCAGTCTGACACAGGTCTCACAGATCCATCAGACTGGCCACGCCCCCTCCGACTGACCACGCCCCATCAGACTGACCACGCCCCTTCAGACTGACCACGCCCCCCTGTGGTCTCTGGAGAAGCGCGTCCCAAGTGTGAGCCAAGGAACTCAAACCCTGAGACAGAGGTTTTAATCCGGTTTGTGTCAGCGTCAGGCAGAGAACAAAAACAATGGATTTTCTGAGTCTTTTCTTTTGTTTTCACTAATTAGATCCAGAGTCGATCAAAACATTTCCTTCACGTTTCAACGACAGCAAAAGGTTTAGATCTTAATCCGGTTTTAAAGGTTTATGGAGAAAAAAGTTCACATTTGCATGAATTAGGAAACTTTAATCTTCAGGCTGTCATTAGAATGTTGTTTTTAAATTATAATTTTATTGAATCATGGCTCACAGGGGTTTCACACACAAAACAAACTTGCTCGTCCTCCCAAACCGTTCCAAAATACACATTACATACATCACGGTAAACTCAGCCCATTATTTATGATTTTAATGCTTTCTTGTTCAGCACTTTGAGCTGCCTTGTGCATGAATAGGGATATATGAATAAACTTGCCTTGCCATTTGTCTGGGAGGACCACAACAATGTTACTTCGAGGGGGGGGAGGGGGAGTGGTTTGGTGGAGAGGGGAGGGGGAGGGGGGAGTGGTTTGGTGGAGAGGGAGGGGAGGGGGGAGTGGTTTGGTGGAGAGGGAGGGGAGGGGGGAGTGGTTTGGTGGAGAGGGGAGGGGGGAGTGGTTTGGTGGAGAGGGGAGGGGGAGGGGGGAGTGGTTTGGTGAAAGAGGGAGGGGAGGGGGGGAGTGGTTTGGTGGAGAGGGAGGGGAGGGGGGAGTGGTTTGGTGGAGAGGGGAGGGGAGGGGGGAGTGGTTTGGTGGAGAGGGAGGGGGAAGGGGGAGTGGTTTGGTGAAGAGGGAGGGGGGAGTGGTTTGGTGGAGAGGGAGGGGAGGGGGGAGTGGTTTGGTGGAGAGGGAGGGGAGGGGGGAGTGGTTTGGTGGAGAGGGAGAGGAGGGGGGAGTGGTTTGGTGGAGAGGGGAGGGGGAGGGGGGAGTGGTTTGGTGGAGAGGGAGGGGAGGGGGGAGTGGTTTGGTGGAGAGGGAGGGGAGGGGGGAGTGGTTTGGTGGAGAGGGAGGGGGAGGGGGGAGTGGTTTGGTGGAGAGGGAGGGGAGGGGGGAGTGGTTTGGTGAAGAGGGAGTGTGTCATGGCCGATGCATCCGTAATCAATCGTGTGTTCCTTCCTCTCGCCTGATGAAAAATACTTCCATTTTTGAAACAGACTCAGTAGAAAAACAGCCGTTCTTTTATCTGCAGAGACTGGGTTTATCTGCAGAGGTCGGGTTTATCTGCAGAGACTGGGTTTATCTGCAGAGGTCGGGTTTATCTGCAGAGGTCGGGTTTATCTGCAGAGACTGGGTTTATCTGCAGAGGTCGGGTTTATCTGCAGAGGTCGGGTTTATCTGCAGAGACCGGGTTTATCTGCAGAGGTCGGGTTTATCTGCAGAGACTGGGTTTATCTGCAGAGGTCGGGTTTATCTGCAGAGGTCGGGTTTATCTGCAGAGGTCGGGTTTATCTGCAGAGACCGGGTTTATCTGCAGAGACTGGGTTTATCTGCAGAGGTCGGGTTTATCTGCAGAGGTCGGGTTTATCTGCAGAGGTCGGGTTTATCTGCAGAGGTCGGGTTTATCTGCAGAGACCGGGTTTATCTGCAGAGACTGGGTTTATCTGCAGAGGTCGGGTTTATCTGCAGAGACCGGGTTTATCTGCAGAGACCGGGTTTATCTGCAGAGACTGGGTTTATCTGCAGAGACCGGGTTTATCTGCAGAGGTCGGGTTTATCTGCAGAGGTCGGGTTTATCTGCAGAGACTGGGTTTATCTGCAGAGGTCGGGTTTATCTGCAGAGATCGGGTTTATCTGCAGAGACCGGGTTTATCTGCAGAGACTGGGTTTATCTGCAGAGACTGGGTTTATCTGCAGAGACTGGGTTTATCTGCAGAGGTCGGGTTTATCTGCAGAGACCGGGTTTATCTGCAGAGACCGGGTTTATCTGCAGAGACTGGGTTTATCTGCAGAGACTGGGTTTATCTGCAGAGACTGGGTTTATCTGCAGAGGTCGGGTTTATCTGCAGAGATCGGGTTTATCTGCAGAGACTGGGTTTATCTGCAGAGATCGGGTTTATCTGCAGAGATCGGGTTTATCTGCAGAGGTCGGGTTTATCTGCAGAGATCGGGTTTATCTGCAGAGGTCGGGTTTATCTGCCAAACGTGGAAATGTGGAGACATCTCAGTTTTTGACAGTTTTCTGTGCACAAAGAACTGGATGAATTGTGTTCCAACAACACATTTACAGGTGTTTTCAAACACATAATGAATGAATCTCTGTCAAAGGCTCAGAGTCGAGAGAAAGCTTCTGTTCGTGTTCATGGAGTTTTAAATTCTGTCGTTCTTCTTTGTCAAAGCAGGAGGCTCCAAGGACACTGTGGATCCAGGACATTTAGAGACATTTATTTACATTTATTTACATTTATTTACATTTCGTGGTCGTCTCGTCCGTATCGACAAATGGCTGCTACTGTTTGTGTTTGTTTATTTAGCATTTCCTAAGTTTGAAGAGTTTGATTTTCTGATCTGTTGTTAGTGAATCGACAACTTTGTGAAGTCCTCCGAGACGACTGCTGTGATTTAGGGCGATACAAAAATGAATTGATTTAAAATGAAATAAAAGCCTCACTATGGAACAAACCAAAGCAACCAACTTATAGAACATTTTGTTTTGTTTGTTTGTCTCCCATCACAGCACTGACCAGGCCCTGTCCTGCTTAGCTTCAGAGGTCTCCCATCACAGTACTGACCAGGTCCTGTCCTGCTTAGCTTCAGAGGTCTCCCATCACAGTACTGACCAGGCCCTGTCCTGCTTAGCTTCAGAGGTCTCCCATCACAGTACTGACCAGGCCCTGTCCTGCTTAGCTTCAGAGGTCTGAGGGATCTGGATTTCGTCAGTTTGGTCATGAACATTTATGGTTAGTGTTAACAAAAAGACTAAACTTATACATATTTATACAAACAAAAACAGGAAAATACTAAATAAAAATAAAACATGTCGATAAAATCTTTAAACACAGACAGATAAAAACTCCAACATTTTAAATTCTTTCTCTGTGGCTGAGTGGTTAGCCCTCTCAGCACGGATGGTCATGAGTTTGCTTATGCATAGGTTTCCTCTGGGTGCTCCGGTTTCCTCCAGGCGCTCCGGTTTCCTCCAGGCGCTCCGGTTTCCTCCAGGCGCTCCGGTTTCCTCCAAGCGCTCCGGTTTCCTCCAGGTGCTCCGGTTAGGCGCTCCGGTTTCCTCCAGGCGCTCCGGTTAGGCGCTCCGGTTTCCTCCAGGCGCTCCGGTTTCCTCTGGGCGCTCGGGTTTCCTCCAGGCGCTCCGGTTTCCTCTGGGCGCTCCGGTTTCCTCCAGGCGCTCCGGTTTCCTCCAGGCGCTCCGGTTTCCTCCAGGCGCTCCGGTTTCCTCCAGGCGCTCCGGTTTCCTCCAGGCGCTCCGGTTTCCCCTATCAGTAAAGACATGTACAATAGTCCCAGCTCTTTGGGGAACTAAATTAATGTGAAAAGTAAACCTCAAACAACAACAGATGAACTCAGAGAGAAATGGATTTTTGTTTTAATATCGTTCTTTTAAAAACACTGAAATGTTGAAGTGTTAATTAGTGTTAATAAAACATTCTTGTGTCGCGCTGTTTTTCTCAGAGACACAAACACTTTTATCTTAACTATGGCCTAATTAATGTGTGTTCATGAGTTTGATTGAGTAGAGCAGTGGCTCGGGAGCTACCAGTAGCTACCAGTAGCTACCAGTAGCTCGCCAAAGGATTTAGAATTTAACAAATGATCTTGATTGAACACATTTTGAGTCATTCCAAATCTAGTATAAATATAAATATAGGGTTTTACAGTATTATGGCGACAGTAGCTCAGTTGGTAGAGCCTTTGAGCCAGAGGGTTGTGGGTTCAAGCCCGGCTTTCACCACCGACTCCCTCTGTCTGCTGTCGTTGTGTCCTTTGGCAAGACACTTAACCTCTGGGAAAAGCAGGTGCCACCGTGGGGCGGCTGCGGCTGTAAAGTGCCAAACTGTCATGGTGTCCTTGGGCAAGACACTTCCCCCACATTAGAATGAGTCTGGTGTGTGTGTGAATGGTTGGTGGTGGTGGGAGGGGCTGATGGCACAGACTGGTTGCCTCGCTTCTGTCAGTGTGCCCCAGGGCAGCTGTGGCTACAGTAGTTTATCACCACTGTGTTTGGAGAGAGAGGATAATGACGTGAAGAGACTTTGAGAGTCTGAAAAAGCGCTTTATAAAACTGATGCATTATTATTATTTATGTGTTCTCTCTGTTTAGTCGTAATTATAACATTGATATTTATTTATTTTCTGAAGGCAAAAAGGAGTAGCTCTCTGCCTCTTTTGTTGCATAAGTAGCTCCCCGTGGCCGCGGTGCAGAGGATTTAAAAGTCCTTCCAATCTCTCTCTGCTGTCGGCCATCTTCCCTCTGAACCTTTCCGACCCGGAGAATGACCTTTGAGACCATGTGGGAGAATGTCTCTCTCCAAAGGCCAGGTCCGGATGAAAGACGGACAGAGCGGGTTGCCAGGTTTGCCTCGTTGCCAGGTTTGCCTCCACGCGTCTCAGGAGCATTCAGACTCTGCTGTTTGTCTTTCCTCCTACAGTGGAGTTTAAACTTGGCATTCACAGATGTCTTGGTGTTTTGCCAAAGGACAGACGTGAGAAAAGTTTCAGAATCCTGAGGAAAAAAACCACAGAACCTGTCGTTTATTCTTCATGAAGACGTTTGGGTTTGACATCAGCTCGAGAACATACAACTGTTATGGACCAATGTGTGTGTTTTTTATGGACCAATGTGTGTGTTTTTTATCTGGTGTGAGCCCGTTTGGTTTTACACATGGTAAGACCAGACGCACATGTAGGAGATGATCATGGACCAGAGTTTACACATGGTAAGACCAGACGTACATGTAGGAAATGATCATGGACCAGAGTTTACACATGGTAAGACCAGACGTACATGTAGGAAATGATCATGGACCAGAGTTTACACATGGTAAGACCAGACGTACATGTAGGAAATGACCATGGACCAGAGTTTACACATGGTAAGACCAGACGTACATGTAGGAAATGACCATGGACCAGAGTTTACACATGGTAAGACAGAGTTTACACATGGTAAGACCAGAGTTTACACATGGTAAGACCAGGGTAAGTTTTTCCTAATAACTGGGAGATGTGGTGGTGTGAGGCTGTTTTACGCACTACTATTGTGCCCATGGGCAAGACACTTCTGAGATATTTGCGGTCGACAAATGTTTCCTCTGATGAAATGCAAATCCGCGTGAACCGCAGCAGTTTGTAGAATCATAGAACCATAAAACTTCATTTTCTGTATTTAAATCCTCGGCGTTTGAATCGATGCAGATGTGAAGTGAAAGACGAGCATAAATTATTTTAATGTCAGATTTGAAAGTCTAATTCTAAACTGCAGGTCATGATGAGATTTGTTTATGTTTGCTCTGAATAAGGGTGTGTTTGTAGAGCGAGTCTCCGGGGCCGAGGAAGAATCTGCATTTACATAAAGAGCTTTAATGCGGCAAGCCAGGAATATGTTCAACAGTTTTAGCACTTTTTTATTCAGATAAACGTCACACTTTTGACTTTTGACATTTCATTAAAAAGACGTTCCTTGGCTATAGGCGTTTTAGTCCTGAAGGAACTATTTATAGTTTCTGGTACTTTTTTAGTTCTTGTTCCTAATTTGGGTAAATTCACAAAAGAGAAAGAACTATAGAGAAAGTGACAGATTGGGACTTTTCTGGGGACGGAACCTTTTTACGTTTTTATACTTTCTCCTTCTGTGACGAGTCTGAGCCATAGACTGTAAATATTAACAGTTGTAGAGACGCCTTTCTCCGCGATCCAAACTAATGTGACATCACCTTTGCCCTCTGTGGCTTTTTCAAAATGGCCGCGAGGCAAGAAAATGTGAGAAAATACATTAGCGCATGTGTTAGCTGCACTAGCCCCATTCATTTAACAAGTGCATTCAAAAGTCCACAGCGGCTAAACTAGACTGGTCCAAAAACATATAATCCCCTCAACATCTACAGCATCTGGGACCAAGAGCCACTTTTGGACCAAGAGCCACTTTTGGACCAAGAACCACTTTTGGACCGAGAACCAGTTCTTGGTTTTCTACGTCCAAAACTGCTTTATCCTTCACCAAACCGAGCACACGGCTCTGGAGACGTCAGCCTGCAGGAGGAGAGTGTTGAGATCCCCACGTCACGGAGGAGGACACAGTCTCTCAAGGCTTAAAACGAGTCAAGCTGAATATGGAGACTCTTTTCTGGGCCTCAGTCCTAGGTCTACAGCCTCAGTCCTGGGTCTACAGCCTCAGTCCTGGGTCTACAGCCTCAGTCCTGGGTCTGCAGCCTCGGTCCTGGGTCTACAGCCTCAGTCTTGGGTCTACAGCCTCAGTCCTGGGTCTACAGCCTCAGTCCTGGGTCTACAGCCTCAGTCCTGGGTCTGCAGCCTCAGTCCTGGGTCTACAGCCTCAGTCCTGGGTCTACAGCCTCAGTCCTGGGTCTACAGCCTCAGTCCTGGATCTACAGCCTCAGTCCTGGGTCTGCAGCCTCAGTCCTGGGTCTACAGCCTCAGTCCTGGGTCTACAGCCTCAGTCCTGGGTCTACAGCCTCAGTCCTGGGTCTACAGCCTCAGTCCTGGGTCCACAGCCTCAGTCCTGGGTCTACAGCCTCAGTCCTGGGTCCACAGCCTCAGTCCTGGGTCTACAGCCTCAGTCCTGGGTCTACAGCCTCAGTCCTGGGTCTACAGCCTCAGTCCTGGGTCTACAGCCTCAGTCCTGGGTCCACAGCCTCAGTCCTGGGTCTACAGCCTCAGTCCTGGGTCTACAGCCTCAGCCCTGGGTCTACAGCCTCAGTCCTGGGTCTGAAGTCTATGCAATAAACCAGAGTAAAACTACAGCTTGTTTGAGATGTTTTGAGCTAGGTGATTCACGCCTGGATTATCATTTAAATCTGTGTCCAGCCGTGCTCGGTGACTCTGAGTGACCCGTCTGAATAAGATAACAGAAAATGGGAAATCAAAAACCCCGGTGTCAGAGAAAGTTTTTTAGAACGGAGAAATTAACCTTTTTGGACAATTTGCACCAGTCTCCCGTGAACTCGGCTAAATGTGCTTTCTGAAGATGAATGGAAGGAAGAATAACAATGATTAAAGTGGTCTGTGACAAAAGGAGGAGAGAGAGAGAGTAAAACATGGAGCTATCCAACTGTTCAGAGCAAACTAAACATTACTGATAATCTGACTGTTTTTACTGTCGCTGTTTAACAAGAAGTACAATCCACTGCATCTGTTTCATCTTTGATCTGTGTGGGCCTAAACCACTGTAATATACCATACCATACTATACCATACCATACTATACCATACCATACTATACCATACTATACCATACCATACTATACTATACCATACTATACTGTACCATACTATACTATACCATACCATACCATACCAAACCATACCATACTATACCATACCATACCATACCATACTATACCATACTATACCATACCATACCATACTATACCATACTATACTATACCATACCATACTATACTATACCATACTATACTGTACCATACTATACTATACCATACCATACCATACCATACTATACCATACCATACCATACCATACTATACCATACTATACCATACCATACCATACTATACCATACTATACTATACCATACCATACCACACCATACTATACTATACTATACCATACTATACTGTACCATACCATACCAAACCATACCATACTATACCATACCATACCACACCATACTATACCATACTATACTATACTATATTTTTACTACTCTACATAAATGTAACTTTTTAGTATAGTAGCAGCTCTGCATGAGCTCACACCAAAGTACATCTGAGACATGTTAGTGCCATATGAACTAACTCTGAGTCTGAGGAGCACAGGGACTGGCCTCCTGCTGGGACTCTGAGGAGCACAGGGACTGGCCTCCTGCTGGGACTCTGAGGAGCACAGGGACTGGACTCCTGCTGGGACTCTGAGGAGCACTCTGAGGAGCACAGGGACTGGACTCCTGCTGGGACTCTGCACAGGGACTGGACTCCTGCTGGACTCTGAGGAGCACAGGGACTGGCCTCCTGCTGGGACTCTGAGGAGCACAGGGACTGGCCTCCTGCTGGGACTCTGAGGAGCACAGGGACTGGCCTCCTGCTGGGACTGAGGAGCACAGGGACTGGCCTCCTGCTGGGACTCTGAGGAGCACAGATGGACTGGACTCTGAGGAGCACCTGCCTCCTGCTGGGACTCTGAGGAGCACAGGGACTGGCCTCCTGCTGGGACTCTGAGGAGCACAGGGACTGGCCTCCTGCTGGGACTCTGAGGAGCACAGGGACTGGCCTCCTGCTGGGACTCTGAGGAGCACAGGGACTGGCCTCCTGCTGGGACTCTGAGGAGCACAGGGACTGGCCTCCTGCTGGTCCCAGAGATTTTAGCTGAATTCCTAGTTTTTCACAGTTTATTCTCTTGTAAATCCCTCTGAGTCGCCTCGTGTATAATCGGCTACAATTCATGCAGATTAAAACTAGAACTTGGAAACATCCTATTATGATGTTGACTATGCCAGCTTTAAATGTGCTGTAGCTATTTGAGAAATACTTCATATTTTCAGTATCAGTGGCTTCTTTGGACAGCGCATAATGAAACAAAAGTACTTTTCAAAACAGAGCAGTTCTTTGTGTAGTCGAGGAAAACGACAGATGCTTTGAGACATTTCAAGATGATTGTAACTTGGATATAGGACCAGGCCAGAATAATGTAATTTAAAAAGACCTTTAATAAATTCTATACGAGTCGATTCTTTGACATTAGCTGTCACTTCAGGGTCTGGCAGAAGGATGGAGACGGTGCATACGGACCTTTCTTTGTCTTTGGGACTATATCACCGCTTAAATCAATATCCTTGTCTCAGAGCGGCAACGGTGCAGGCGCAAGACAAGCTAGCACCATAAACAATCCATCAAAACCTCAGGAATTATCAGGCTAACAAAACAGAGTCGCAGCTTTATTCCTTATTTAAGTTTTTTCTGTTGCTATGGGGAAAGTTGTATAAAGTAACACTTGAGTTTAGGAGAATGATGAATGATTGTGTTGCTGTCGTGGATGCCGGGGGACATAATAATGACGAGAGACATCAATCTACATTACAGGTCTACTGCTGCTGCCGAACATCCAAGGGCAACAGAAATATTACATTATCAATGAACATTCATCTTGGCCAATCTATACGTGGCTTGTCGGCTCCAAAAAGACAGTTCCAGACCATTTTGGAAGCCCTCCTTTGACCGTCTGTTAAACTATGGCTAATTAAACTTTTGTCTGTCTAGATTTTAAACCGAGTAATTAGATCATATTCACAGTGTGCGTCGGCATGACTCAATTTCATATTTAACTCAGGGATTATAGGATATTCATAGAGCTCTGCAAACCACTTTGAAGCCTGCGCCGAGTTGAACCATTTTCTCAGAACAGACCAGCGGCAGCAGGAGACTAACTTTTCAGCAACTTTTCAAATGGTGGTGAGAGCACGGATCTGTTAGAATCATATTTAAAACCATTTGCAGAAAAACTTTGGAATACAAACAGGAGACACCTGGGGCACCAAGACCACACACACACACACACAGACAAAAAGAATGAAAATAGTGAGACACTGTGGGGCTCTTAAAAACATCAACTCTTCGGGTGAGAGAGGTTGGGGTTAGCGCCCCCTGCTGTGTGCTGAGGTCCTAGGGCCAGCTCAGGTTCATGGTGCTTTAGATGAGACCTGAAATCTGGGGCACGGTGATTCTCTGTGGCCGGTCCAAAGCCCACATCAAAACAGCTCCCTCGTAAGAATGTTTTAAGTTTTACTTTATTCTCTGGATTTTAACACTGTGTTCCTCTGTGTTTCATTTATTTCATTGTTTTTTTAAACTTATATCTGTGTATATTATTGGTATTTATCGTATTTAATTCATATATCTTAATATTTTATTTATGTTGTATTCTGCGTTTATATACAGCTGTGTATTCTATGTGTTGTCTCTGTGCAGCACTTTGGAAACATGTTTTAGAAAATGTTCTATATAAATAAATTGGATTTGGAAACTACTTCCGCCACTAAGCAGCGTTTTGAGTTTAACAGAACGCTCCCATTCGCTCTTCAGTCTGTCACTCTGCGGATGTAAGCTCTCTGATTCGCTACATCACCACAAACCCCGCCTCATCACACACGCCAGCCAATGGGAAAGCTCTAACCCTGTCTTCACGCCCCGCCCCCTTTACGTCTCCACGCACGTCCCACCTCTTCCCAACGGCGTTCAATCGTGGAGCGAACCTTGTCCACTGCGGCTGTGAGCTGCCCGTGGATGTGACACTCTCCTCCCGCACAGCACCGACACGTCCACGGCCCCGCGAAGGACACGGGAGCTCTTCTTTGGGGGACTTTCACACACGCACTACGGTGGCCGGGCAGGAGGGACCAAGCGCGATAGGGACCAGGCGAGACAGGAGAAATGGCCGAGCAGCACGCAGCGGGCGACGGCAAGCACAAAGCGAACGCATCGGTGCACGGGAATAACCGGGCTGGAGGAGGGGGCAAAGGAGGCCTGTCGGGGGGACTGGCTCAACCCGCCGGGTGGCAGTCTCTCCTCTGCTTCAGCATCTTGTTTCTGGCCTGTCTGGCAGGATTCAGCTCCAGACTTTTCGCCGTGATCCGTTTTGAAAGCATCATCCATGAGTTTGATCCCTGGTAAGCCCCCGGTCTGACACTCTGCAAATGTGGCTCTGATTTTACCCAATATCTTCATTTAAATTGTGTATTTAATATGTTAGTTCATACAGGCTACGACAAAGCACAACTCTGTCTGCTTTTTGCAAGTTTAAGGCAAGGCAAGTTTATCTGTATTGCACAATCCCTACATTTAAATCAGTCTCAAAAATAATCTGTTAAAACAAGTTTTTCCGTAAACCCCATTTTCTATTTATATTGTTTTTATTAGTGTCCAAAAAGCGCTATTCAAGTTTGATGTATTATTATCATACACATGGCAACTCTACGATCATAAATAACCACAGTACATTAATAAGACATTTAAATATATACAATCCCCAGTTGTTTGCACAGCTAAACCTCCCTGTTTTTAACCTGGATTTAAGCATAGTCAGTTCACGTTGTGATTGCGTCTCCTCAAACCTCTCCAATGTCTTCTGAGGCACTTTGCTGGATGCTCTGGGTTCTGCTTTGACACTGACGCCCTGTGCTCCCTGCTCATCTGGTAGGTCTGGTTGTTCTCCTTCTGAAAGATGGAATGACAGCTTCTCGTTTGCAATGGCATCCTTTATCAGTCCTAACCCCGCAGGCTGGGGGTTAAAACTGAGAGATTGGTGACTGGAAGTGCGTAGAAAAGTTGTTAAGTCTATTGGATTGTGCTTTACAGTCATATTTAAGCAGAATCAGTGGTGTTGTGTTTGCAGATTATGGCTCGTGCCTCTCTCAACCCGGAAGCCAAGATTATTTCTATACTGTAGCTCCTTCAGACTGATGCTGGTATTAATGCCAGAGGACAGAGCACTCCGCCTCGTTACAGTCTACTTCCCTCTTCAATTACAGCGATAACTTGATTATATCCTGGCTGCAAAAGGTGAAGGCATGTGTCTTTTTCCATGAGTAAGATCAGGGGTAACCAACTGGTGGGCTGTGACCCAAATACTGACACTGAGCAAGCTGTTTATGTCTCAGCCAGTCTTACACGCTGAATTAAACTTGTATGAATGTGTGATATGTGTCCGTGTTGGGACCAAAGCTAGAACCAAACCAAAGGATGAAGACTATCTCAGGAGATCTGGGCTTGGATCAAAAAATGAGAGTTTGGGTTAAGTTTTATAACAAAAAAGCTGATACTGGATTAAAAAAATGCTGGTATATGTCCTTTATGAGATTACAGGCTTCTAGGTTTGAACATTGTTGCCATAAATATCTATACTATATCTGTCTCTGTGTCTGTCTCTGTCTCTGTCTGTCTGTCTCTGTCTCTGTGTCTGTCTCTGTCTCTGTCTCTGTCTGTCTCTGTCTGTCTCTGTCTCTGTCTGTCTCTGTCTGTCTCTGTCTCTGTCTGTCTCTGTCTCTGTGTCTGTCTCTGTCTGTCTCTGTCTCTGTCTGTCTCTGTCTATGTATCTATATCTATCTATCTAGAGACCAAAGGATAAAACAAAACATATCTTGATGTTCTTCAGAGAAAATATTTCATGAAGCTATCAAAGCGTGTTTCAAGCCAAGCCACAAACATGTTCAGTCATTTATTCTGATCAATATCTATAGAGGAATAATTTTAAAATGTCATTGGGCTCATTTTACATTTCATCCCAGACGGTAAAGTGCATGTGGTCACTTCAGCCCCGTGTGAGAGTCCGTGTGCGGTCTCCTGCTTCAGAAGCGGTGGGCGCTGTTTTCCCCGAGAGAGGCTGTAAAAGTGGCGTCTGTCTACCCAGTAGCGAGGAGACTGGAAGTGCACAGCTCTCAGCCAATACATCAGAGTGCACGCATTTAGAAAGCTGAAGGTAAATATGTGCAAGGCTCCGTGAAGCGATTCTCTTGATTGTCGAGAATCTGCAGAATGTGGAAGATGTGATGATTGTGACGCTGCAGACAGACACAGACATCCTCGTTTGGTTGGTTTTAATGGCACTGATCATTTCTGGGAGAATATGCACCAAATAACCTAATCCTATGTGTTCTGTATAAGAATGAGTTATTTTTACTGACTTCTACAGTTCAGTGGAGAGAGTATCTTTATAATGAATGCCCAGAAGTTTGGTGCCAACTGCAGTGTGCGCACAGGGAGGAATGTTTCTGTGTGTGTGTCTCTGTCTATCTCTGTCTGTCTCTCTCTGTCTCTGTCTCTCTGTCTCTGTCTGTCTGTCTGTCTGTGTCTGTCTCTCTGTCTCTCTCTCTCTGTCTGTGTCTGTGTCTGTCTGTGTCTCTGTCTCTGTGTCTCCGGTCTTTTTTCCTCTCTCTGTCTCTCTGTCTCTCTCTTTGTCTCTCTCTCAGTCTCTGTCTCTCTCTGTCTCTGTCTCTCTCTCAGTCTCTGTCTCTCTCTGTCTCTGTCTCTCTCTGTCTCTGTCTCTCTCTCAGTCTCTGTCTCTCTCTGTCTCTGTCTCTCTCTGTCTCTGTCTCTCTCTCAGTCTCTGTCTCTGTTTGAACAATAAACACACCACATTGTAGTTTTTTCCTGAGGCTCAATGAAAACATTCACTCATGAACTTGTCTCGTTTCGTGTCTTGATACTTTCTTTTTTGACTCGTTGCCACATTTTTGCGGATTATAAATTGAAACGGCAGATTGTATTTGACCTTTTCAGCAGAATGCCCCACAGTAACTTCCCGACGCTGTGTAATCAGCGCCCGTAGAATCTGTCCTACATTTTAAACAGTGCTCCACAGAATCTCAGTCAGTTTCAGTTCGTACGACACCAGAGATTGAACCAAATAGACGCTGTGATTGTTGTGCCCATGAGAACTTTGTGGTGTTTTCCTTCAAACAAGCCTCATGTTTACAGCAGCTGCTGATTGGTGCAGACAAACACACACGCACACGTTATGGAAACCAAATGACGTGGTTTTGATTCTATAATTCTCATCTTGAATATTGTTTGACCTTAATAATCCAGATTATCACTTTGACTGCTTTACTAAAACCACAGTAAGACGTGGGAACAAGCTAAAGACAGGATGTGATAGAGTTGACCACAGAGCGTCAAAGCATCGGAAACTCTGACGTTTGGAGACTGCTGGTACTCTGTGACTGCTGGTACTCTGTGACTGCTGGTACTCTGTGACTGCTGGTACTCTGTGACTGCTGGTACTCTGTGACTGCTGGTACTCTGTGACCGCTGGTACTCTGTGACCGTTGGTACTCTGTGACCGCTGGTACTCTGTGACAGCTGCCTCTGCTTGGTACTCGGTCTCTGCTTGGTACTCGGTCTCTGCTTGGTACTCGGTCTCTGCCTGTACTCGGTCTGACAGGCTCCAACAGGAATGATATGATTAATCTTTGCTCTTCATTAACAAAGTAAAAGCTGCTAATGGAATTGGTTTGTTGTTTCCCAAAGATACTAATGGAGCTAAGAGATAATCACAGCCTTCTACAATCCTGTGAAGTTGACGTATAAACAATGATTTTCAGTTCATTTTGTCACAGACGAGATCACGGAGGAAGGAATAATGTCTGTTACAGGCCGCACACTCCCCTGGTTATAAATGTAGCACATAACGCCGTCTGTGGTTAAAGATCACACAAGTAACATGTCTGTGGTTAAAGATCACACACGAGTAACAGACGACACATGCAGTTGTTCTCATCCTTCTGAAGAGTGGTCATGTGACGGTGGAGGATTGGTTACTCCAGGGCAGCCGTGGCTACGTGTGACGTGGAGGATATTATTGAATTGATGAATATTTTGTTGTAAACAATATATATTAAGTAAAGTAAGTAAGTAAGTTTTTATTTATATACCGCCTTTTCACTGCAGATCTGAGTCTCAAAGCGGTTTACAATTGTTAATTTTGGGCATTTGTCTCTCACTCCACACAGAGATGGGAGCGGGGTCGCCAGTACAGGAGGCGCATGCTAGAACTATTGGACATATTTTTAGTGGTAGGGGAAACCGGAGTACCCGGAGGAAACCTACGCAGACACGGGGAGAACATGCAAACTCCACTCAGAAAGGCCCTGGTCCGACCGGGATTCGAACCCAGGACCTTCTTGCTGAGAGGCGAGAGTGCTATCCACTCAGCCACCGTGCCGCCCATATTAACACAGATGCATATAATTGCTCTTATTGTTGTATCGTGATCCTTCTGATTCAGTATTCCTGGTTTAGTGTATTTTACAGATATGTTTTCTATATAACAATAATAGTTTCATCAGTAAAGCAATATTTAGACCTATTTTAAGCATCAGTACAAATTAACCATGGCCCTGTAATGCCCAAGGGCCTGTTGTGTATAAACTACATCTTTCTTCCTCTTCCATACTGCTGTTGTTTGTTGACTCTGGGACTCCGCTCTGACAGACGGGAAGACGGAGCCGCAAACAATAATGATGAGGATTCTGACCCGTCTGCCTCCGCTCACCAGCCACTCTGTTCTCCGAGCTGCAAAGTGTCCACCGCTAACTCCTGCTGCTGCTTTGGGGAAGAAAATAGTTGTTCGTGAAAGTTTTAGGACTCCGAAAGTTGCAGATCTGTTGTTGGTCTGGGTGGAGTGTGAGGAGGTTCAAGAAGTTGTTTTGATAATTGTCTCTTTGCTGTTGAGGGAGGATGTAAAACACTCTTTGGGTTTGAAGTTTGATTTATTAAGGACAATGTGTAAAGGTGCACTTTATTAATCCCTGTAGGGAAATTCATCCTCTGCATTTGACCCTGATGCCCTAAGGCTTACGTCAGGAGCAGTGGTCGCCGTAGTAACAGCGCCCGGGAATCCATCTCTAGATGTTGATGCTCGGCTTGGTCAGGACCAGAGCTGGAGGACTTAACCTATTGTGCATGTTTTTAGTGATAGGGGAAACCGGAGTACCCGGAGGAAACCTACGCAGGCACGGGGAGAACATGCAAACTCCACTCAGAAAGACCTCGTTCCGACCGGAATTCGAACCCAGGACCTTCTGAGAGGCGAGAGTTCTATCCTCTCGGCCACCGTGCCGCCCATATGCACCAGCTTCTTTCCATCTGCAGTCCTTAAAGTGGACATATCGTGTTTTCAAATAATTGATTTTTACATCTAAATCATAAATTTGTGGCCTATATAAAGCGTAACTGCAATGCCTGGGTCTGAGTCTCATTATTTGTAGCTCCACGGGCCTTTCTTCTACACCTGTTCTGAGGTGCGTCTGAGAGCAACCTGTTTTGGTGCTGTCTCTTTAAATGCAAATGAGGCGCTTTTGACCACACCCCCATCCAGGTGACACAGGTTCAACTCCACCCCGAGCGGCCATTTTTGTAGTTTCTAAGCACAGATACAATTATCTCATAGAAACTTCTCATTACATCGCAAACATGAAGCAGTCCTTCCTCATTGACTGAAAGCAAATGTTAAGTTTCATTCTTAGTCCAGTCTTATTATCGACTCTTCTCTTTTTAGCTTTAGGATCCATGCGCAGTCTATGATGCTCACACGCCGGTTTGACAGACACGTTGACAGAAATGTTTAAATTGAATATTACTTATGCACAATTTTACAGCATTTAAAAACGTTAAGAACGTTTTTCCTTCCACAGAAGGAAAGAGACGCATGCGCCTCCAGAGCCGCAGGTTGCCGACTCCTAGTTTATACAGTATGTGGAAGCAAATACTGTAGAGCAGTGTCTCCCAAAGTGGGGTCCGCGGCCCCCTGGTGGGCCGCGTGGGTACTGCAGGGGGGCCGCGGGAGGTCATAAAAAAAAAAATATATATATATATAATTATTTAATGTTAAATTTATAATGTTTTGTTTGTAATATTAAAATATTTGTGTTCATTATTTGATTTGAATAAGCCACTGTAATCATTTTTGTATTACAATGTTTGTAGCAGAGGCTATTTCCCCAAAATAAAATAACCAGAAGAGCCTATTCTTAATGTTGTCTTCTTGGTTATTATTTTGGGGGGCCACGCAGACCCGTCAGATTTTTAAGGGGGCCTCGGTGTTACTGAGTTTGGGAATGGCTGCTGTAGAGGATCAGGATATGTGCAGTTTCAACAATAAAATAAAATGCAATAGTCTACATTAAAGAGAGTAATAAACATGTCTCAGAGTGAGGGAGGTGGACACAGACAACACTATTGTTTGTTACAGGGATGAGAATTGGTCAAAAAAGACTGAAATGCATATTGTCAGCCATTTGCTGGCTCTAAATCTGTTTAATTTGTTCACAACATATTACTTTTGGGCTCAAACATGAACTTTTAATGCAATGGAAAATGTAGATACCAGAGCTTTATTTAGGGCGTTTAATCGCACTTCGAGAGGAGAGGGAGACGCGGACTGTTTCCTGCAGCAGTGTATTTATTGGGTGCACAGATTACTCAAAGACACGCATGGTCCTGTGCGCGTTTATGGGGTTGGGTACATGGCCACGATGAGGCTGTGCGCTCAGCCACAACACGGTGGAGCGGCTGCGAGCGGCTGGACGCTCACAGCCTCTCGCAGCCGCTGGACGCGGAAGCTGCTCATTACAAAGCGGCCGCAGATGCCCCGGAACACTGCGGCCGCTGAGGTGGCGGAATCCCGTTCGAGTACATACAGCAGGTGCCCCGCGGATACGCGCGCCCCGCTCCAACAATTCTTAACTGGTTTACACTTCTCATAAACATGTGTTTTGTATGAGGTGTACAGACCGGCCCAAATATGGGCATTGCCCTTTGGGCAAATGAAGTGAAGCACAGAAGAGGAGGGCTGGGCCGAAGTGTTTTGTTAGACGCCCATGCCCTTATATGGCAGTCTCGCTGCAAATACTGTGACGTAATAATTAGGGATGTAAAAAACTATGAATTTTCATGACCGACCACCGAGCCTCATTAACCGGTTGAAACCGGTTAACCGCGTAGTTTAAAATAGTCCACGTTCTTTGAAATAACAGCCATTTCGAGCCGCGTACTTTTCATAAGTGCAGCTTTGCGTTCTACTGGATCAGAGCCGAGACAGCGGCGCCCAAACCCGCAACAGCTCCGGCACCTTTGCGCACAGAGAACTGCTTTTTTAATCTTCCCATTCTGCTGTGCTGCGGGTTAATACCAAAACTTTCTAGCAGCAAACGACGGCTCGTTCACATGGTCAGAGCAGCGAGTGACGAGCCGCGTCTCACAGGTCTTCACAAAAGTTTAAATACAAGTGATGTGTGTGGAGCTGATCCCGAGGACCATAAACACAAACATGTTCCATGTGGTTTGACTGGAGCCGCGTATTTGCGCGAATCCTTTGGGCTCCGTGACACAGAGGAGCGCGACAGACCGGTATGTGTGTGTGTGTGTAAATGTAAGCTCCAATGTAGTTCTGACCCGCGCCAGTGTGCAACTTTGACGGTAACAGAGGGGAGAGGTGTGTGTGTGTGTGTGTGTGTGTGTGTGTGTGTGTGTGTGTGTGTGTGTGTGTGTGTGTGTGTGTGTGTGTGTGTGTGTGTGTGTGTGTGTGTGTGTGTGTGTGTGTGTGGGTGTGTGTGGCTCGTGCGGCGTGAGAGTCGTCCCAGAGTTTATAATACATTGGCGCACACAGCTAGATACAGACCCGCTCGTCACACCGTGCAAATAGGGCTTAAAATAGCTTTATTAAGAGACCTCCCCTCTCCCCTTTTTCTCTTTTTTAACCGACAGCTTTGACCGGTTAACGCTGTGACGGTCAACCACCGGTTAACCGGTCGCCGATTTACATCCCTAGTAATAATTCTAAACACGTAATAGAGAATGGCAAAATCAGAACGGGTTGAAAAATCTTACCTAAACAGAATATGAAGTGTTCTCTGCAACCCATGAAGAGACTGATTTCAACTTTTTTGCACTTCTAGAGGCTCCAACTTCACAACATCAGGCATTTAAGGCACAAAAAGTGGATTTTTCATGATATGTCCCCTTTAAATACAATCATCCATCCATCTTCTTCCCTTTAATCCATTTCCAGTCAGAGCACCAGCCCCTCACTGATCCTCCTGCAGGTGCTGAGTCCCCAGGAGCTGAGATCTTTCAGTGGGGGCTTCAGGCAAAGTGGGGTTAAGTGTCTTGCCCAAAGACCCAACCACAGCAGTCATCCGTGGGAGTCGTGAAGGAGGTCTCGTGATGGGCTCGAACCCACAACTTTCAGGCGCAAAGGCCAATGCTCTACAGACTAAGCCACTGTCGCCCCTAAAAATACAATCCTATACCTAGCCTGATAATATACAGTTCAAATTGGACAGTTAGTGGGACATCAGGACACTTTAGCATTCTACAACATGTATGGACATTTTCTTCTGTGTGTGCTTTATATTCTTCATGTGTTTTAACTGTTGATTCTCTGACCTGTGTTGGTGATTTCAATGGTTTTGTTAAGTCTCTGAGATGACTTCTGTTGTGACCTAGGGCTATACAAGGATACATTCTATTGTATTGTAATTAAAAGTGCAGGTTATTAAAACTCATCGACTGCCAGCCCATTTCAGAACAGGTACTTCCATATTGCCAGCCATTTCTGATGGTTTTTTTTACTGATTTTTAAAGACCCACAGAATATTGTGTACTATGACTATCTGAAATCCCAGATTCTAAAAGAATGGACTGTCTACTTTCATCAGCAAAAAGAATTTGGTTTCGTTCCCCTGTAATCCTCCGTCGAGTAGAGGGAAGTTTTACTGAAATCACCAGAAAGCTGAGAAAAAATAGGCACAACAAGTGCATCTAACTGTTTTCAAACCATTCAGAGAGCGCGCTGCTGCCACCTGCTAGCTCGATAAAATATGGTCTCAAGCCAATCCCCACATATTAGATACAATAGACGTCTGGGAACGTGTAAATAGCGGGACACGCAAGTGACGTATTAATGCGTCACGTTACTATTTACTTTGACGTATTTGTGCGTCAATGGCACACGTAAAAAACCTTAATAAAAGTGCATGTTACTAAAATAGATATTAACAAACCGTTCAATAAGGTGCAATATTAACTTGTTCACACTAAAGGGCACAAAAGTGTGACAAAAGGCCAAAAATTTGATTTTAATAATCAGAAGATATTTTATGTTTTTCATGTTTCCAAATCCCCCTCGGTCCTTTAGAAGTCGCTAGAACAAAACTTTTAAACAATAGACAAGTTTCCTGTAGGCCCTGTTTATTTATGTAACGGAATGAGCTGCGGAAGTTTAAGTATTTTCACATCCACATTTGATTCAGAGATTCGATTTTATTACATAGAAACAAAGTGATACTTTGAAATAGTCAACCAGTTAAATATGAAACCAAACCAGATTTTTATTTCTCAAGTTTAATTGAAGAAAAATGAACTGAAACCATCACGTCCGTTACACATTTATCAAGGGTCATTTAATATTTTAATTTTATTTTTATATGATTCCTTTTTAAATCAAGTGATTTACTGATGTTGTGTTAACTATGTAAATCTTGTGGGATTTCATCAGACGCTTTTTCAGACTGAGGACATTTTATTTTCTATGTAACTGGCGTCACAGTAGAATGGTCCAATCAGAGGCTGATTTGGTCGTCTAAAATGTATTTGTCAATCTTTCCTTTTGATTTTATCCACATCTCTTCAATGTGTCTGTGTTTGAAATCTTTTTTTCCAATCTATGAAAGTAATTTCAGTTTTTGAATTATAACCTTTTAAAGTCCAGATACTTTAAATAGAGTTACAGTAAGCAGCAATAAGTAAAGAATGACACAATTTTCAAACAAATAATGGTTATCAGATGTTCCCACAACAGTCTCCTCCGGTTAACATGCATTTCTCCTTTCCTTTGTTTTAAGAGTTCCATCCATCCATCCATGTTCTTCCCTTTAATCCATTTCTGGGTCAGGGGGGTGGCAGTCAGAGATGCCACCCAAGTCTCATAGCACCAGCCCCTCACTGACCCTCTGCAGGTGGTGAGTCCACAGGAGGCTGCTCTCTGACTGTGAGCATAGCCTTGATCTTTCAGTTGTGGCTTTGGGCAAAGTGGGGTTAAGTGTCTTGCCCAAGGACACAACGACAGCAGTCTTCAGTGGGAGTCGGTGGAGAAGGTGCAGAGGTGGGAATTGAACCCACAACCTTCAGGTCTGAAGGCCAATGCTCTACCAACTGAGCTACTGTCGCCCTGTTTTAAGAGTTACTATTGGTAATTTGGCAGGTAACCTAGAAACTCTTGAAACCATAAAACTCTTGTCTATTCAGCTGTTATGGTCCCAGCTGGATTCGTCTGCATATCTGGCAACCTGAGTCAGGGAGAGTGGGAGAGGCTGCAGTACCACTTCTACTAATGGCCAGATTTTTACATTCTGCTCCTTTAAGAGCTGCTGTAGTTGTGTGATATATATACTTTTCTTCCAGCGTGAGTTGAACACACGCTGTTTCTCACAAATTGGGTGTAACTGTCTGTAAACGGACGCACAAATGAAACCAACAAATATCTTTGAACAAAAACAGTGTTTCAGCTGTGGAGATGTGTCTGCTCTGCTGTCACGCCTCGCTCTAACTCAGCCCCGTAGTGGACGTGTTGATTAAAAAGTTATTAATGGTACCGTCTGAGGCAGCTGATGATGATGAGGGGTCTGCTCTTCATCTCCAGCTGCTTCCAACATTAGCTTTCAGACAGAGACATGTCTTGGAATAACCGTACCTGATTGAAAACCTCTTTACCCAAAAGGAAGTTAAGTCTCTTGGCCTTTAGGTAACTTTGAACCACAGATGATTCCGACAGAAACAAAACTCTGGGAAATTTCTCCGGCAGCAAAAACGTGTCTTTGTGGAAAAGTTTAAAGAACCTGGAGCCCGCACCTGTTCTGACGGCAGGTCCTGAAGGCTCGATCTGAAAACCTGCTGCACATATGCTACTCATGAGCTCTAAACATCAGCGGCTCAACACCCAGAACAGAACTCAGTCACACCACGGAAATGCTTTTTATGAAAGTTTCAGCTGCAGTTTGAGTTCATCGGAGGTTCTTTGGTGTGAAGTCTGCCGCCTGTTGGTCTTTCCTCTGCATATGTTCTCCAGTGTTTAGAATTAAAAACGTTAATCTTCTGTATATATGCCTTTTATGGCTCAAAAACATTTTACTGTAAGCGGTTCTGAGCTGCATCTTGTTTCCTCTGTTTATTGTACATTAATAATCCTGGTTTAGACTAAGGACATTGTTTTAGTCAGTTTTATAATGGGTATAAAACGCTAGAATAAAGTAATGTGCAAATGTGTTGTTGGCAATTACAAAATCTCACAAAGATGAGATAGATTTTATGGATCTGTGATGGAGAAATGTACATGTGACATCACAGATAGAAGCACTCAGATTGTGTAAAGTTGATAATATTCTGTGCAGGATATAATTATGTACAATAACAAAGTGGCAATTAAAGAAACAGTAGCAATAGCAGTGCAGGTTTTTCAGTCCTAGTGCATTAGTGATTTAAAGTGACTTATTGTACAGTCTGACAGCAGTAGAGATAAAGGCACTGCAAAAAACTCAATCAATCAAATATGTTTGTAGAGCACATTTAAAACAGCTTAAGCTCACCAAAGTGCTGTACAGACAGTGAGAACAAAAACATACAGGAATATATATATACACACATAAAACCGGAAACTGAGCTATCCCTCTTCAAATAGTCAAGATTATTGTCCAAATCTTTCAGTCTTTTTCCTATCGCAGCACACATTTCATTATCTCGAAGTCCACATACGACATGCTTTGCGATGCTCTTTCCTTTCTCGCTGCTGTCATTTCATCTTTTTTGGGATTAGCGTGGGGGCTGCAGCTCTCCTCCTACTGTACGTTTGTCTCCTGCTCCTTTTGCCTTTTGCCTACACACAGAATATGACGTCTATTTCAGAGTGGATTAGGCTTTCCCCAGCTCCGCCCGCCACATTTGCTGCTGCTGCTCTGGACAAATGGAAGACTCGGCCATGATATGTCTTTGGACGGTACATTGGGGAGTGTGATCTCGATCTGAGCCCCTCCGCGGACCATGACAGCTTATGAAATATTCAAGGCGACCGCGGCTACCGTTACCTGCCAGGAGGAAGTCAGCGCCAATGGCCGTCCTTTGTCATTCTAACTGGTTCTGCAGCACTCACAATGGCCCTGGTATTGTTTAAGAGATTGGATTCATAACAGCAATTTATTAAGCTTTTCATGGCTGCTGCCAGAGCTGCTTTATTGCTGGTTGAGTTTGTGCAAAGGGGTTTTATTTAGTCCTTAAACTGGTGGCAGCTTGTGATTCCACGAAAAGTGTAGAACAAATTCAGGGACTGGTTTTTGATGAAAAGCTTTTTGGCACCAGTTTTTCTGAAATTGGATGTGAAGCAGACTCAAAGAGATGCGGGAAAATTAAAATCCATTACAAATTAAATAAAAGAAAAAGTGTGAGGAAAATGTGTGAAACCAGGTCTCTGTATAGAAAGCCTTGGAATCAGGAGCTCATGTATTTTATTTTTGTGTAATTACTGTTGGGATTGATCACTGAGGACTTTACAAAACTAAATAAATTCACTAACACAGACCAGAGAATAAAACCGTTCAAACTCAAGAAATGCAATGATAAAAACACGCGGAGCCATTGATCTATAAATCCATTTAATCTGCACGACAGCTTGGAAACTCAGGCAGAAATGTTTGCATGGATTTGGGGACCAATCACAGAACAGGGATCGACGGGAAGACAATGCCGCACCATTAGACCGAAGCTTGTAGTTGCTGCTATGGACCGTCGTGGGGCTGCATGATATATCAAAAAAATATTGTTATTGTGATACTGGTGCGTGCAATATATCGAAACGATCCGCGATTTTAAAAAAGTATATACATTTATGCATTTGAAGGTCAATGTAATTTTTGTTATTTGTCTCTTGCGTTTCAATGTAGATTGCAATTTCAGGTGAAAGACAAAAATATTGCAGTAATATTGTTATCAAAATACTAAACACCATCCATCCATCCATCCATCCATTTTCTACCCTTTAATCCATTTCTGGGTCAGGGGGGTGGCAGTCAGAGATGCCACCCAAGTCTCATAGCACCAGCCCCTCACTGACCCTCTGCAGGTGGTGAGTCCACAGGAGGACGGCTGCTCTCTGAGTGTGAGCATAGCCTTGATCTTTCAGTGGACAAAAATATTGCAGTAATATCGTTATCAAAATACTAAACACTCATATTGAATATCGGACTAATTTCCAATATCGTGCGGCTCTGGACGGTCGTGAACCACTGTCTGAGCCTCATGCTGTACTTCTGCTTCTTTAATGCGTTATTCTTCAGAAAAATATATTATTGAAACCGCCATAATGCAGTGTCATATTAATGTTTTTGTTTTTATGGACTCCAGCTTTCCATAAACTACCCATTTTTTTTATGTTCCAAGGCAAATATAATCACTTATTTTTATTGAGTTCTTGTTGGAATGTATTTATGCAAGGTCTTGTCCCATACATAGAATATATGTATAATAAAATACAGCTAAACTATTTAAATGAGAATTCCTCTATCTGCCTTTAGGAACTCAGTGCAGGTCGTAACACGGCTCGCGGTTCACATTAGTCTGAATCTGAGGCGGGGGAAGTGTAGGCCGCTGCTATTCTCCTTCAAGCTGATTTTGTTCTAGAAATGTTAAATATCTGTATTTAAATTAATATAAATTTGGGAGCAGCTTGTGCTTGTCTTTCCCATTATTGAACTGTTGTGGAAGCAAAAAATAATGTAAACAACAAGAGCTTTAACACAATCAAAGTGTGAGGTTATCATTAGTAAATGTGACATATACAAAGAATAACAATGAATAACAGAACCGATACCGACACCACCTGCAGCTCTGAAACTGTCTGAAACTGTCTGAAACCGTCTTAACCCGTGGGCCACAAATGAGGAAATTACAGACTTTAAATAGACCAGAGTAAACATTGGTGTAATATCTAGAGTAGACATGTCTTTGAAGTCAGTGTTGATGAAGGCTCCTCTCTACACTTCCTAACACTGATACAACTCTGATATTATGAAAAACGGTGTGACCCGGAACACATCATTCTCTGGCCCAGATAAAGACCTGTAGAATCCTGACTTTGAATCCAGAGTCAAGCATCAGTTAAAGTAGTGACATTAAAGGGCCCTAATCTGTCATCATTAAAGGGCCCTAATCTGTCGTCATTAAAGGGCCCTAATCTGTCGTCATTAAAGGGCCCTAATCTGTCGTCATGAAAGGGCTCTAATCTGTCATCATTAAAGGGCCCTAATCTGTCGTCATGAAAGGGCCCTAATCTGTCGCCATGAAAGGGCCCTAATCTGTCGTCATGAAAGGGCCCTAATCTGTCGTCATGAAAGGGCCCTAATCTGTCATCATTAAAGGGCCCTAATCTGTCATAATAAAACCTGCTCTTTTCCAATCCTTCTTTAACTGATAACAGTAGTTCAGAGATATTTGAATTTCTAAATTACTTCTCCAGCCTCTAAATCTTGTTATTGTTTTCATTTTGATGTCCTGCCCTCCACCGTTTCACCAATCAGAAAGTCTGTGATCCGGGCGCCAGAACTCACCGTGTGGAGCTAATCTCACTGGTAAAGTACCATGTGGCGCAGAACTAAAAAAGGTTGATTAGGATTCTCAAATCATTAACGACAAAACAAGGAATAAAACCAGGATTTCTATCTTTGTGAAAAAGGTGTTGGTTATAGATTTGTTGTTGACAAAACTCTTGTCTATTCAGCTGTTATGGTCCCAGCTGGATTCGTCTGAATATCTGGCAACCTGAGTCAGGGAGAGTGGGAGAGGCTGCAGTACCACTTTTGGACACATTTTTACACACTGCTCCTTTAATAACTTTGATGTTAGTTCAGATTGCTTTACTATAAGATTTCTATAACGGAACCAGAGAACTTTCTGGTTTGCTGTGAGCTGTTGTCCAGTGATGTCGGGGCTGTCTCCGGGCGGCTCTTCCCAGGAGAGAGCACACTCCGGCCTCAGGTCGTGTGTGACTTCACAGATCTGCTCCAAAGCTCAGGGCAAACACAGACGACTTCTCTGACATCTGTGCTCCACATGCAGCTGTTTGGCCTCTTCAGGATATGGGTTATTCGAATTCGGGATACGTGTTTTACTCATTTCTTTTAACTGCTTCTTGGAGCTTGTAGATGTCAATCGCTTTGACATAACGTGACCCAAATACTATAAAGAGCGATATGTAGTGATGTGTTTATTGTTTAGCACTGGTCTTACCATGTGTAAACTCTGGTCCATGATCATCTCCTACATGTGCGTCTGGTCTTACCATGTGTAAACTCTGGTCCATGATCATTTCCTACATGTACGTCTGGTCTTACCATGTGTAAACTCTGGTCCATGATCATTTCCTACATGTGCGTCTGGTCTTATAGATAGATAGATAAATACTTTATTGATCCCCCATAGGAGAAATTCAGTTGTCCAGCAGCAGAAGACTCTTTTCTTGTTGTTGTAGTACAGTTAGTCAGGTTTGACAGTCAGTCAGGTTTGTTGTACAGTCTGACAGCCGAAGGAACAAAGGATCTTTTGAAACGTTCCGTTCGGCAGCGTAGTGACAGGAGCCTGTTGCTACGGTTA